TCTGCGCAAAAGATTTACAAATGAATGAGACTACTTTGCAGTCATTTGATGGTTAATGGTTTAGGCCAAATGGTGAAGATGGGCAGACCTTGAGCGAGGGTAAGGCTGAGTGGGTCGGAGGCGGCTGCCCAGTCAGGCTCCACGAAAACGTAATCTTCAGCTCTCTGCGCTGAAGTGGTGAAGTTACACTTAGTAAAAAAAACTTGCTTTAATTGCAGGTGTGTGGCAGGGTGATCTTTCTTTCATACTAGCCCGAGCCAGCAGTGTGCAGAAAGCAGTGGTTGTGAAAATTTTAGTCATTGTGAAAATTAATGAAACGTGAGATTTCAAAAATAGTTGATTTGCATATGGGGGACACATCGTAATGCATATTTGGTTACATGTCTGGAAGTCTGGATCTAAGGTCATCAATGTGCGTACGACTTGTTCTTCTTAAAACTTAATGACAGGTTAATTATTAAAAGCAACTTAACTACTAAAAGAAAATAACCTGACAGTCAAGTTTATATTGTAAAATGTTCATCTTTAAAATTACTGAAGCAGTTTGATAGTATCATATTTCCCTCTGAAATAGAGTATATAAAGTAGTATAAAGGGAAATACTTGGGTACAAGTATCTCAAAGAGTACATAAAAGTACTACTTACGTTTATGTACTAAATTACTGGGTAGGATAGTTAATCCTGACCTAAAATGTTTGGGACAGACACAAAGCTAGAACCAGGACCTGGCAAATACAAAGTACATACCTTTTGTCAAGAATGGCTTGTCCAATTGTTGTGGCTTCAGGAAAAAATGTTAACACTTATTATGTAACTGTAATTCTGGCAAAATGTGTTGTTAAAAATTGAGGTGCTGGTGCACATAAATGTAAAGTTGGGCACACCAGTGCAAAAATGTAGTCTTGAACCCCGACAGGAAACAAAAACCCAGTCAGACATAAATATTAGAGTGAACGCACACGCACGAGACCAGACAGCTTTATGACCTAGGACTGGGCAGTTAAACCCTTGATAAACAATCAATACCACAAGGAGATATTAACAGGATACATGCATTATTGCCCACAGTGGAGGCATGTGACTAGTACATATTATATTGTAGTTAAAATAACATCCAGTGATATTTTTTCAAAGGACCGTCAGTCAACAGTGGTAACAAAAAGTTAAAAAATATAGTGGAAATGTAGAATTTCCGTTTGTGCCATGTATTCCTTTGAGAATGTGAGAAGCTTCACTTCAATTTTGTTTTGGAGTTTCTCCTCTCCAGTGCTCAAACTAGCTAAAACAGAGCCTGCATAATAATTATCACACTGTTGCTGTGGTTCAATGAATTTTCACAGACAAGCACAGGTGATACGTTAACTCTGGCCCTGTCCTTTGCAGGTGTCCCATTAAGCCATGACACGGACAGGGAGCCAGCATGTATGGTATCAGGACCATGACACTGAAAAATCTAAAGGAATTACATTTTTTTATCCGTTGTCTTTTCTATCACCAAATGTCGGCCATGAAAGCTTATAAATTTGGTAAACTAGGCGATGCATATCACAATACAGGTGACATTTTCGTCCCGATTTGGAAACGCCATACTCAATTAAATGCCCAGATTACAGAAAGCATGTTTCCTTTACATGACATTTTAGGAGTCAGCTTGCTGGGGAAAGTAAGACATAGTGGCCTGGCACATAAACACAAGACATTTCAGTAATTGGCATTACAAGAAATGAAGTTTACTATATTGTAGCAAAATTGTGACCTTACAGTGAACATCCTACACAGAGTTTACTCAGACCTTCATGTGGGCTGCGTAACTGCTGGAAAAGTCCACCTACAACTCCTGATCATTCACAGACAAGCAATTCAAATAACACTAGTGCAACAAAATGTCTCCCTGAGCTACAGAGTAATGTTTTACAAAGGGGAATCTGGTGGTGCATTTGTCAAGTGGTTTCACCTTTTGTTGTCATTATGCAGTGAACAGGTCACAATAAGGCAATGTGAGTATATTATTTCTTGATCTAATGAAAATTAAAAGGGCATTGGCACTCTCCAAAGGAGAGGTGCTGCATGACAAATACCACGTATCTGTTAAGAGCAGTGAATGGAGAACCTTCCAAAACAATGTTAGTGTTGACTACACTCCACAAAACCGAAATACAGCGACACCAAAATAGACAGAGCTTGTGGGTGGAGAGGTAAGAACTGTTCCTCTAGCTTTAACTGTGAGGGACAGAGGTGTAAATTTGCCATATGTCAGCCCAAACCAATGTGGTTTTGTAGGCTATTTTATCAATGTAGTACATACAATTTCTTCTATATTCCTGGACAGGGTGTTCCCTGTCATTATAAGACTTGGGTGCAGTGCCTAAACCAAATGAATGGAAAAAACTATGCAGAGTTCTCTGCCGGTCTGACTAGAAAGGAAACCTTTTTGTCAAAAATATAAGACGTTTTTCCCTGAAACTAAGGTTTATAAAGTGAGGGTAACCTTTCTGAAAGATGGTGTAACATGTTATTTTGCCACAGAGGAAATGAAAAGCATTGGAGGGGATAAAGCAAAATCTTTTTTTAATATTCTATCAACATTGCATGATGTCATTCCTACCAAGTTATTACTGATGAAGGTTTGGGTCATGTGTTGTCCTGTAGGATGCACAGATACCCATTAGAAGTATTTCTGTACCAACATTAATTTTGAACTTGTTTAGTATTACTTTATGACATCACTGCATTGTTTCCAATTAATCACCTAGACTGTGGCAGGACTAATTAGACCATAGTGTCAACACAAGAGATCTCTGACTTGTGTTTTGTTCTGTTGCTTTATTGTAGAGCTGTGTGCAGCACTCTTTGCCATGTTGTTGCTCTCCCTTGCTTTCTTGTTCTCTCTCACACAGTTGACCTGTCACTCATGGTCAGACTGACCCTCAGCACCGGGATGAATTATGTTCGCTTCAGTGGCCCCTTAAAACATCCATAAATTGTTTTATCCTCATTGTCAGACAAACAGACCATGGTTTAACATATGCCCTGCTCTGTAAGGTAGTAATGTATGAGTCTTGTTTTTTATTATTGCAATTTAAATATGTTACAAAAATGATCAATGTGAGCAGTTTGCTCCAACAACATTATTCTGTGACATTTAGACTAATTACTAAAAAGGCAATTTGATGAATAACTGGAAAAGATAAATAATTATTGATTGCAGCTAAGGTTTAAGCAATCACTGCTAATGATAAACAATTCCAGTGGTATTGGCTCTAAAATGTGGTAACCTCATTGTTAATCACTGACTTTTAAGCTAGTCCCACTACACAGATGTTCAGCTTCATTAGCCTCCATAAAAAACATGTTGGCCATCAAGTGGAGACACTGGTAACTGAACGAGGTAAACAATGGGAGCGTGAATCTGGAAGTCGTTGCTCGTAAGCGTTTTGTTTACCGGTCTGTGATGAGCAACTCGTTAATTGGTTCAAACCACGTGTGAATGAAGTGCTGGAAAGACAACGGCCTGTTAAAGAACCACCACTCTCGTAACATTAAGTGACTCCAGCTCCTCAAACGCGCGACAGTTTTATGGTTGCATTGTACAACCTACCATTCATAAACATGAGACTGTGCTCAATACATGCCAAAACCCACCCCCCCTTCCCTTTAGCATGGCAGACATGGTCACCTTGATTATATTAAACTCGACTTTTTTTCTCAGTTTAGAATCATAGTTTTTTGTTATATTTTCAATAACTAGTTATTGACACAATATACATTTGCTTAAAATGGCACAAAAATATTACAATTTGTGTGTGGATTTTTCAAGGCTGTCCATTGTCTCTGCTTTTAACACGACTTCGTGCCAGATGCCCCTTGATTTCATGCGGGTCTTTATAGTGTGGTGATCTGATCCCATTCTGCGTGCTAAAGGGTCCTTAGGCAAGATACCAAACCCCAAATTGCCCCTGACGACTGTGCAGGCAGTGTATGGTGTGTGTATAATAGAGAAAGTGCTGTACATAGATGCACTTTATCAATTTAAGTGAATTGCAAAAATGGTTTTGTAAAGCTCTTTGAGGGGTCATCAAGACCATACCACAGAGAAAAAATACCTGAGTATGAGGTGTACATTGTTGTACGTTTTAAATTCATGTTGAAAACTGAATAGACATTGTCCCTTGTTCCACTGCACAGATGCATTATAAAACGAGTGCATCAAAAACAAAGTAGTTCTTCTCTAAGATGCAGTTGTTTTGTTCGTAGCGGGGCTGTAGCCTGGAGCTCAGTCTGCAGGCTTCTGTATTTTCCACCACATCAGTGGTTAAATGCAGTTATGTCCATCACAGTGTGGCATCACTGGCGGAGCACTGCATTCCTCAGATAGTCAGCAACGCCAAAACAGCCGCGGTCGGACAAAAATGGTCACACTCAAACAAGCTTAAGACACCATTTTGAAAATCCACCGATTTCTAGATAACAACTCCGAGATGCCATCTTGCCAATTATAGCCATATTAGCCGCCGTTAGCATAGCTATCCGGCCATCCCGAGCCAGTCCCGTGCAGGAATCCGTGCGGGACGCATAATACAAACGTTAGCTTAGCTTTCCTTGCTAGCCCCTGAAAAAGACGCTAACCCGCCGTAGCATCCCCCGACACACGCTGCACAAATGGCTAATTAGCGAGCTAGCTAGAGCAAGATTAGCAAAAGACAATGAAAAAACACTCCCAGTAGGTGAGGACGGAGAGCCCCGGTACGACAGCGGCTATCTCCACCGCCAACTCTACAACATCCATCATCGACCGGACAACTAGTATCGGTTTGAGTCCGCTATTCGAGCTAGCCCACTTAGCTTAGCCCGCTAGTTCCCCACTGTAGCCACCGCTGCGGAGGACAATTGAAGGGATACGGAGGAGGAAGAAAAGGCAGGAAAAAAAACACGAACAACTACCGAGTCGACACATGGACATTCCTGTCCGCCATAACAACAAACTGCGGCTCAGACTCACCGAAGTCACTCGGTCGAAGAATTGAGGAAAATGAAACAAGATTCTCCGGTGGTGCGTACGTGCTCTCTCCCGTGTGTCTGCTCGGCTCGGCTCGCTGTGGACTGGCTGTGCTACGGCAGCGTTTTGTCGGGGGCCAGTTGCGCTGAGGAGACGAAGACAGCTTTCACCCGAAGAGACGGTCACTGTGTGGGGGATGGGGATGCACTGCCGGGAGGGAGGGAGGGAGGGAGGGAGAGAGAGGGAGAGGGAGGGAGGGATGCAGGGATGCAAGGAGAGAGGAGGTGGCCCGACAGACCCACCGAAAACATGTAGTGAGTGTAGAGGCATTCATTCTAATAATAATAATATCAACAACAAGAATACAACTAATAACAACAATAATAAAAACCCAATAACAACAATAATACAACAACTAATAATAATTAAAAATAATAATACAATTAATAACAATAATAATAATAAAACAGGAAATTGTAATAAGTCCAGGAATGGCCCTGGCTTTTGTTTACGCTAATATTGATGGAGATCTTTTCATGCACTAAATAATGAGGCGTTCAGGGTCACATTTTCTCTGACCAATTAAAGGTATTGATAATAATAATAATAATAATAATGATAATAGAAGCAGGAAATGGTAATAAGTGAAGGAATGATTTGTCTTAGTTTTGGTTTACAGTGATATTGAAGGAGTTCCTCTCATGCACTCAAAAATGAAGGGTCGATGTTAATTTGACCAATGGTGGACTGTGGGTCATCAAGTTTCTAGATGTGTGTTGATCTTTTTGTGTCTCTGTTTAGACTTTATGCAGGAGCTCTTTTTTCTTTTTTTGCTCTGATGAAATCAGTATGTGTTGGCATGCATATTGTTATTACAAGAGGTAACCCTTACTGTGGTTGTTTTGGTTCATGTCAACAACGGCCTGCTGTTATGTATCGTTTGGATTCAACATTTCCAGGCAGGAAAAGTGGTGGTGGTGACACGGTACTGCAGTGTAGCTGGAGATTCACGTTTACTGATTTAGATTCAGTGGTTTTCTTTTCATGGCCTCCTGCATTAACACAACCACAATTTTTAGTTTTCCTTACAGCAGGTTAGCGCCATCGAGTGGTGAGGAAGTGACTTACACCACATTGACTGAATACACACGACCAACACTAAGGACTTCTTGCACCCACACAATACTCTGTGCCTGTATATACTTAGTTTTAAGTATTATAAAACTACAATACTGCACCTAGTTATCTGTTGATTATTGGCTGTAGTTTGTGCAGCTGTTGAACTGTATAGCTTTCTCCATAATGGTGTTTCTGTTACATCGCAGAGAAATGAGGTGAACAAAATATTAGAAACACTTGTCAGTTTAGCACAATACAATTCAAAAGCACCACAAACTCACCAAATATCAAAAATGACCACATTATGAATGCAATTATTATCAGTTCTAACACAACATGAACATTATAACCTTGGAGAAAGAGGATTTTTTGCAGGACTGTTGTGTTTAGACTGCCTTAATTTCAGCAAGGTGTCCCGAATAAACTGTCAACTCTGTATATGATTTGAATATAGGTTTTACTTGAATGCAGCAGATTACAAGATTAATTTTCATCCTATTTTAATAATTATTTATACATTTCCTCTCCCATTAGCCAGGTTCTTGTGCTATTATATGTGAATTTATCCATGAGAGTCGCTGTTTTTCAATTAAGTACCCAGTGCATTGTCATCATTGGTGCATTTAGAGCATAAATAAAAAACAACAAAACTCTCCAAATCTGCAGAGCACATGCAAACATAAAACTATTGATTTACCAGCAGTTTTTTTGCGAATAGCCTATTTAAGCATAGTCCATTAATATCTTGCAACTGAAAGCCATTTCTATGAGTTATATACACTTATATATAAATGACATAATATATAAATATTATATAAGAACTACATAATCCAAGACATGAATGGGTCACCCTCTTGCCGGGTTTTTAAACCAACCAATGAGAGAGAACTACATCTCCCAGCTGCCCTTGCGCCCAACTTGTACCGCAAACAAAGAGCTGCATACCCGCATGCGACTCTAGGAGGTTTAGAAGCGAGACAAATATCGAATCAATAGCATCGAAACAACGCCATTTTAAAAAGGATGATGTTAATGAGGAGCCTGAAAACTCAAATCTGTCCGGATCCTCGCGTGAGTTCAGACTTCCGGAAGTGTGAATGACATGAGTAAGAGAGAGAGAGAGCTGTCCGAGGTGCTGACACTGTGAGTAGAGCTCCTGCCTGAGACTTCTCATACATTTACCTGTATCTCTATATTTACAAGTGTTTGAGGTTTAACGGCAAGACGTCGTTGAAGGTTGTGTTATATCCTTTCTGTGTAATATCTGTGTGAATTTACTGAATGTGCTGCAAACTGAAATCTTATTCTTTTAGCTGTTCTTAGTGAGATGTTTGCATTAGAGTGGATTGTGTTACAGATATGCTCTAATGAAGTAGATTTCTTTATGAATTATCCTTTATTACCACCACTCACCTCTCTCTCACACACAGACACACAAATTCACATTATTCACTATAACTCAGACTCACTGCATTCTTTGAAAATATATTATAACATTTAGATTTTTTTTTTGATCTTTACTTATTTTTCATTGTCAGAATTTGTGAAGATGGATGAAAATCAAGAGTCATCCTCCTGTATCGCCAACGCCCACGTCTCCAGCAGCAGCCCGACCAACAGTGAATCTGGCACTGCTCCACAATGCAACGGGGCCCCGGAGCACCGGAGCCTGCTGCGGGCGTCTGAGTCCCACGGACTGCAGCTGCTGGGTGTGCTCAGATCTTTGAGGGAGCGAGGCCTCCTGTTAGACTTCACCATCAAGGTCCAGGATCGCAGTTTCCCCTGCCATCGTTGTGTTCTTGCAGCTTGCAGTGATTTCTTCAGGTATCTATCCATCTATCCATCTATCCATCTATCCATCTATCTATCTATCCATCTATCTATCTATCCATCTATCCATCTATCCATCTATCTATCTATCCATCTATCCATCTATCCATCTATCTATCTGTTACTGTATTACGAAAGTGTTCTGTGTTCAGGGCTATGTTCGAGGTTGACATGCGAGAGCGTGATGATGGTTCGGTGACTCTGGGTAACCAGTGTCCAATGGCGGTGGGTTCTTTTTTGGACTTTGCGTATTCTGGAGAGGCTCTAATCACTGACAGCAACGTAGACATGCTGTTCCAGCTTGCCTCCTTTCTACAGGTAGAGATACACACATGACATCTTTAAATTCTTGCTCTTCTCAGATTAAAACTTAACCTCCTTGGTGGAGGTAAACGTATAAAATATGTAATGCATCGTCAGTGGGCCACAGACTCATCACTAATGTGTTACTTCATTCAGTGATACACAGGGACTTTATGGACATTTGTTAAAATGAATGACACTTAAAGTCACTGATATAAACTTTCTGTGGACATCAAATTTATTTCAAAATAATATATATTTTCCATGTCTACATTTCCCTGTTGTCATTCCTCAAGGTACCAGTCCTGTCTAGAGCATGCAGCGACTTCCTGATAGGAACCATGGATCTTTGTAGCTGCCTGTCCCTCTTGTCCCTTGCTGAGGCCTATGGCTCCACCACCCTCCTCAAAAGTGCCAAAGAGTTTGTGGTTCATAACTTCAACGACCTTTCAAAAACCCTGGACTTCCTGGATATGCAGGTGTTGCTAAAGACTTTACATTGATACACAAATTCATATGTTCTTTCAATTATTTTATTCCTTGGCAATATATCATGCAAACAGATGCAATCCATATGCCTGCACGACAACTTCCACCTGATTTTGCTCATTCTTGGTAGTAAACATTACAGTTATTGATCCAACTCAGTGAACTCATCTAATTTCTACACACAGGGCACAGCAACCTTCCCACGATTATGACAAAACATCTGTTACTGAAGGGTTTTGATCATTATCTTGCCCATCATAGACTGTACATACAGATGGACGACGTGTCCCCACTTCCTTCCACTACCCAGAAATGAAAGCAAAATATTCCAGATACGAAGGCTGCCATCTTGCACATTTGAAACCAGAACCTGCTGTGTAATAGTAATTAGTGGATTGTGCCGCGGTTGCAAGGTTTTAAACGATACAAATGCTCGACTAATCAGGAGTCAGTCTCAGCTGTCAATCATGATGTTCCACTTCTTTTTAGTAGTATCATTCAATTATATTTTAAAACAAAATTAATGGGAAACAATATATATCAGTGTGATAGGAACTAAAATGACCATGTTTGAGGAAATAGATGTACTTTGACAGGATTTATGATCAAGAGATTGAGACCCTAACCCTAGCTGTCACCTCGTCCATCTTCACATCCAGTCTATATTACTCACATAAAAAATGTGACTAAACTGGCTCAGCATTTACTGTTTGGATTGCTCGTTACAGGTGGATGTGTTGGAGGCATGCCTGAGGTCAGATGCTTTAAACATGCCCAGTGAGGAGGCAGTGGTGATGGCACTTCTCAGATGGGTGCAGTGCGATCTCCCAGGACGACAGAAGCTGTTATCAGAAGGATTGTTATCTCTAACCAGACTGCACCATCTACCTGCACCTGCACTTAAGGTATAAACACACTCCAAGTACTTGATTTAAGATGTAATGAAATGTTTCAGTCTTGTGTTTGCCTCATCCTTCCTCTGTTACTTACGTCTTACTAAGGACACTGGAAGCAGGGGTGCTGAGGGGGCTGCAGCATCCCCCATTGGCAAGGGTCTGTAACTGCAAGGCAAAAAGTCTACTAAAAATATCAATAAAAAATTAGATTTCACTTTCTAGGGAAAGATTTTGTGAGTACCATAGTAGTGGATGTATTATCCACCCATTATTAGTCCTGTAATATTTGATTACAATGTAGAACATTCAGTGTATTTCCTGTGTCTGATGTTCAAATGTAATACGTGACATCGACACTTCTCTTACCTTCTCTTTCAGACTCTTCGTAATTCAGACACTCTGCTCTGCGATGACGAGTCCTGTCTCGCCCTGCTGTCAGGGGCCCAGAGCAGACAGACTCAGTACGACGGCCTGCTAGCTGATGCCAGGCCGGCTACCACACAGAGCTACATCTACATCCACAAGACGGAGGAGAACGGAGAAATCCGCCACACCTTCTGCTACTGTCTGGAAACAGACCAGTGGAAAGAGCTGGAGGGGACAACCATATTCCCAGACCCACCAGGATCCTACCTGACCAGCTATGCTGAGAAGGTAAGTTTGGGGACTGAACTGCTGCTCTGTGTTTTCAGGCCTTTCAGAATAATGTAGCAACAGTATAAATGTGTGGCACAGAACAAAGACAGCTTTTCAGAAGAAGATCTTCAACCAACTGTGAAGTACAGCGGTGGAAATGTTATGGCTTGGAGTTGATTCAAAGCTTCAGGGACAGGGCAGCAGAAAGTCATTGATTCAACTATGAAGCCCCAGTATCATATCAAAGCCTGCATAAAGATAATCTGTGGCCATTTGTCAGAAAGTACATGTGGATCTTTTGATGAAGAGTTATGGATCAGCATCATCAAAGCCCAGATTTGAATTCAAAAACCCTCAGACAGAATATTACTTATATAAACTTATGTCCAAAAATAATGGCATGAAGAATCCAGGTCCAGGCACTCAAAGTGGTTTGAAAATGTAAAAGGCCTTGTGTTTAATTGGCTTGAAGCTTTAAAATACACCAACACGTATCGGCTTGTGCCTTTATCAGGGTATTTAAGAATATCTATTGATATTTTGATTTTGATATTTTCTGTTGAGTAAATGATTGAAATTTGATTTCGTTTTGCTCAAGTAAACCACCTGTTTATTTCCATGGATAAACTTTTTACACAACTGTTTCTACAAATGTAACATTTGTCCAAAATCAAGAGATATACACTGTTTTAAAACTACATATGTTTTCATCATGTTTTACAGTTTTAAAAAATGTCCCTTTTCTTGTGTGGAATGGAGATGTTTGTCACAGGTGGTTGTCGTGGAAACTGTTGCCGTGCAGTCCGTCTTCACGTGGCAGAACCCTTCCACGATGCCACTGATGAGGTCTGGTGCTTCTGTCCTGTGACTCTAACGTGCACGCCTGCACCAGCCATGCTGAAGCCCCGCACCATGCACACGGCTGTGACCTGCCTGGACAGAGTGTACGTCATCGGGGGGCGGACCAAGGGATCCAGAGGAGGGACTCCCCGTTTGCTGGAGGTAACAGTGCTTCCTTTAAATTCTATCAAAGGCAACTTGTCATTTTAAAATGTGCAGGTCAAACTCTGTTCTATTCCATCCTGTGTTCCAGGTGGAATATTACGACCCTCTGTCGCAGACGTGGTGCTCGGTCAGCCCGCTGCCCACTGCCATCTTCTACCCTGAAGCCAGTGCTTGTGGCTGTGTCATCTATACTCTTGGATCAGAGGTGGAAATCACAGACTCATTTAATCCATCTCTGGACTGCTTTTTCAGCTATGATGCCCAGCAGGACCAGTGGAGCCGCCTGGTGGCAGAGTTTGGCCAGTTCTTCCATGCCACACTGGTCAAGGCAGTGTCAATTGATAGCACACTGCACCTATGTGACCTCTCCACCTATAAGGTTAGGAGCATGAATGGATGAGTAGATCAGTCATTAAATTGGAGTTTGTTTTTAGGTTTCCCAGCACAGAAACATTTAAATGTCTTTTTCTCTGTTCCATGCAGGTTTACAGTTTCTGCCCAGAGACGAATGTGTGGAAGGGTAAAGGGTCATTCGAGTGTGCTGGCTTTAATGCAGGAGCTGTGGGTACGAGGGACAGAATCTACATCCTGGGTGGAGATTACTCTCCTGACGAGATCACAGATGAAGTTCAGGTAGGAGAGAAAAACACTTAAGTCTTTATTGCTTGTAGGCATATATACAAAACAAACAGATCAAAAACACGAAAAATAAAATAAAACATCAATTATAATTTTTTTTAATCCATAACAGCTCAATGAGAATTACATTTTCTGTAAAAGTTAAATATGTGGGTCATTTCAGAAATCCACAAACTTGAGTGACTTAATTGGACACATTTTGTTTGCTTTTTTACTACACCCAATATCAAAAGCAAACAAGTTTTAATGAAGTTCAAGGATATATGGTCCCAAAGAAATGTTGTATTTCACATTAAATATAATAATCATACTAGGATAATAATGTGGTGCTGGCGAAAGATTCGGCCAAAACTCTACTCACAGCTGGAAGAAATCCTGTCACAAGAAACTCGCTTGATTCAAACACCCCGACATGAACAGTGGTTAGATATAGTACAGGAAATATATGTGATGGAAAATAGAGACATCAGCTCTACATAAAACTAATAACAAAATAAATTATAGGGAAAAAACTGTTGTTGACTTTAGAGGAGTTCTAAGCTTTTCTTTCATGACATAAATGTGGAATTCAACCGAAGCACTGATCAATTTGACAAATTACTTAAACTAGTTAACCTTATTTTTTATGTTTGTGGTGCTCACGTCAGTGTTATTTCTACAATCAGTGTGTTTTCTTGTTACATGTGCAGGTGTACTACAGTGGGAGGAGTCAATGGGAGGAAGTGGCGCCCATGCCCAGAGCGCTCACCGAGTTTCACTGCCAACTCATCAGCTTCAACAGATACAGAGACCCATGGGGTGAAACGGCATGATGCGCATCAGACACACACGCACTTGACTAGACTAAAGAATGGGACCTACATGTGTGTTACGTAAAAATCTACCCACGAATTGTCTCCCCTGCCCTCAAACCCATATGCACGATGGACATTGAACACCTTGACAGAGAATCACCATCAGCGTTGCCAGATCCACTATAATATTTATTATTTTTTATTTGAAGGATAACTTCACGCTTTGTACGAGCAATAATACCAAATACCCCATAATGTATGATCATTTCATCATTTAGTGACAGTGTTAGGACTTATAATTATCAGTATTATAAGTTACAAATCTGTGTATATGTCTGCCTGTTGTGATTATATCAATATGGACCATGTGTCTGTTTTTTTTAATTGTGTTTCTATTCACTTGAGACTTTCCAGCCAATCATAAGGATGCAAGAGATACAGGCAGCGAATCAAAGTTGGAGTTTGAACCAATTTTTTTTCTTTGATATGACTCATGTTATAATTTCCCCCAAAATATGATACTTTTCCACATTTCACATCTGGCGATGCTGATGACCATCTAGAGTTTCTCTTCGACTAACACCACAGCTCCTCTCAGAGATATAACATGTGAGCACCTGGGCCAAATTCTTTCTTTATTTATGTATTTATTTATTTATTGAAGCTTTAATCCCTGAAATTGTACATGTGAAGCACCAGCTGTCATAAGCTCTTTGACGTGCCAATCTAAATATGGTGGAACCATATTGAGCAGAGGACTATTTTAGAAATCCTATTTTAGTACCTGGATATTTTGTCTTTGTCTGATTAATATGTTTCAAATGGTGAATCTACTAAAAGAACACACACATATACACACACACACACACACACACACACACACACACACACACACACACACATGAAAATC